CTCCCTGGATTGTAAGTGGCGTGTTCAGTGACTGCACGTCCACAAGCATGACCTTACACTTTGTGGGTGCAAAGTGCATACCAAAGGACGGGATGACTTTGGTCAGTTCATCCAAGAATACTTGCGCCTTTTCCTCCTCTTCGAACATGAGAACGATGCCGTCTGCATATTCCAGATCGACAAGGTTTTCTTCACAGGCTTTTTGAACACACTCTCACACGTCCGGAAGTCTGATAATACAAAGAACGTATTATGTTTACAAACTTCTGGGGCATTCCTTGGTGGGCAAGCGTGTGGGGCATTCCTTGGTGGGCAAGCGTGTTGGTTTAAAATTTTACTGGTGAAACAGGTTGGATGACGGAAACAAAGTTGTGCACGTTACTGGATCTGGAAGTATTGTTGCTTGTGCGTCACGAGTTGCAACATAGCTCGAAGGCAAGTGTTCATAAATTCAGAGAGAACAGTATTACTTCTGAAGGGTGGTGTACCAAGAGACTTCATACAGCTACGCTCCTGGTATCAAGTCATTAGAAACCCAGTGTCCGCCCTTCATCTTTGACGGGTGGACTCAGCTTAACCGCATCACCCGAAATTATTTAGAGATTCATCATCATCGTCATTATCATCATCATGAGACAGCAACAAGTGTTGACAGTGGTCCTTCACTGCCGTACAACTACATGGTTTATCTAATTGCATTAAAAGCCTTAGAGAGAAAAGAGGACAAAAGGGCGGATGAAGGAAGGGATCTGGTGCCGGTCTATTGCAAGCATTCTGACGTGTCTACATTTATAAGCGCACAGCCAGACAATTTCGAAAGGAAACTGACTGCAAAAACGTCACTGACATCAGTCAGTCGCCATCTCTTGCAATGTCTCCAGCAAAGTGTGGGAGGGGTTACGGGGACCACATTCTAAAAGGCGTCATACACCCAAAACTCTAAGTAATCTCTTTCACACCCTTGTGCCAAGTCATACGTTGTCCACCATTTTGAAGGTGGCACAGAGTCAAGCCATAAGAATTGCGCTTACCAGAATACTTAACTGTAATTGGACCTCCTGTGCTACATACCAAGATTATAATGTGCACTGGGGGAGCCGAACGAATCGATTGAACAAATGCGAAAAAATTGGTGCGTGCAGAATTCAATAACCAACCATCGATTTACCTCAATTTCCCAAGGCAACCAGCCAGTTCAACGAATCTCTGAAGATGCAACTACCAGCGGCAAAATCTGCAGAGTGCGATCTGCTTTTGATAAGAGCGAGTGACACTGTAGGCAGCTTAGAGACCAACACTTGATTTGATCATAATGAGTGGCTTTCCAGATAGACACCATGGTGATGACGCAAGCTTCTGTAGGGGCATGGGTTGATCGCCCAGCTTTTGGAGAACGTACCTAAACCATTGCAGATGGTCATGCTAGGTGTACGCGGTTAGCTGTAAAAACCCATTGGTCCGCTTTGTTTTACGATGGCCCTCTGTCAAAAACGGAACCTCCAGGCTCCAGACAGGCAGTGAACAGGTCTCGCATGCATACAAAAGATCAAGGTGAATGATGGCTCTGGTTCCTTCGGATTTCGCCTCCGAGAGGAAGAAAGCGTGCCTCGCACTATCAGCCAAGATATTCACTTTAACCTTCAGAAGTGAGTGTTATATAATGAAGTTGTGTTTAACTTTTTTACTTGCTATTCGTTGAGCTAATTGTGTTTCC